AATTCAACTATCAAATTGCAAAATGTTATATTAATTATTACTGGCGTAACAATATGTTATATTTTCAAATTTTATTAAGAATTTCCATCGAATAAAATATTAAGTAGTTTCAGCTATGGCCACTTGACAAAAATATTCAATTAATTCCACCTGACGTGACCACAAATATAGCTGTTAATTTCAATATGAGTTATCAAATATAGTTGTAACCTCTGTTGCTTCTTCAATGCTCCAGTTAATAATGTTTCAAATGAACATTCATAATAGTTTATTAATAACAACTATCACTTTGCTACTGGCTTGTTGTGTTAACGTCGCTTATTACTTATATTTGAAAAAAAATACGACGAACTACTTCTTTAAGGGCGCAGCTTTACCGCTTTTACATGTCAGTCAGGAACCAATGCAATTCCTCAATACTGTTGCTTATACTTGATAATGGGAACCTCTGTAATTACTACGAAGCGAACTAAGAACACTAAGACTGGTACAAGTGGAAATTTATTCACCTTGAAAACATGACACCGATGACTCTGATCGAAAATACACTCAGTGATATTATATTGAATGGTACACGTATTTTGATTATTAATTAGAATAAAATCACGTATATGAACAATACCCAGAGTTATAACAAAATCACATACTACATATCATGCTAAATATAATTTGATATAAGAATAATCTATCTTGAATAAACATCAAACTTAGATAAATTAATGTTATACTAAATAAAACAATATACAAGACAAAGCAAATACTCTGCCGATTTATCCCGTCATATCATAGTTGATCCTCTAGCACAGAATGACAGACTTCGTAGGTGTGAAAATTTTTTCTATATTATTGTCAAAAAACAATAGGAAGTCAGGCATTTTGATTAATTTTTATAATTTAGCAACGCAGTAACTTCTAGTTACAACATCCGTAGCTCCTTGTCACTAGTGAAACGAACTTATTCTAAATCATCTCTCTATATGAACTACTTTACCTGTAAATTTTCTAAACTCTGGAATAATCTACCACAATCTATCCGTACGATAAAATCGCTCCTATTATTTGTTCACTGCATTGATGCATATTGCTTCTCTGAAAATGCACTGAATGTTCTAGCAACTGTAAGTGTATCTCATTCCACAAATGATATTATAGAAACTTTAAATGTTTAGCCATTATTATTAGTGAATTTATGAAGTAAAACCACCTACCTGTTGTCACTTCAAGTTAACACTGTCCCTAGCAACTTTAACTAATTCTAATAATATCTAACATCAACAGTATATCCCTGTATCACATTACATGTACATTTTGGTAGACCTGATTGACATATTTTAGTAATTACTGCTTTGTTGTTCCGTGCTATCTGTTTTCGTTTTAATTTCTCCAGTTGTAGATAATCATCATGAATTCCATCTGGCACAGAAAATAACCTTAATTACACCGTTCATAAACCAACAGGCTGTCCACTTAAGAAAAATTAAAAGTTCCATGCTGATACGTTGGATCGTTGTAATACATGTACTACCGAAACAATTACTGAACCAGTATACTTAAAACTATCTTCTATCACATGTTTGTTCCCTAAATTTAATGTTACTATTTATATCAAATTGATCATGCCTGTAAACTGGCGTGAATTCTGTAATTATTATTTTCAGAATACATGTATATTACAATCAATTAAGGAGGAGACCAGCTAAAAGATCAAGAGTAATTTAACCGTAAGTTTGTATCGGACAGAACTTAATTACGATCTGGATATTATTCAATCTGCCATAACCGAATTCCAACTGATAATACAAATTTCTGTCAGTTTTACAGAGAAGCCTAGCCCACACATTAAAGTTCCCATCTATAAACACAATTTCTGTTGAATGGGCTTGATTCTAGTGGCTTCTTTATCATTTATGGCGGACATGCAGTTGATAAAAAGATATTGTCCCGCTATATATTTAAAACTTTGACTGAGCCTTTCATTATAGCATCGCCTCAAAGTGTATACAGCCGAAAATTGTTGCTTTGCTTCTAGCACTTAGTTTGATACTGACACTCATGAAATCAGAAGTCGGTGACACATAGTCTGTAGACAGATTAGTGTGAAACGTAATTTCCAAACCGAAAATAATTCAAGGTACCTCACTATAATTTTGAATCCAGAGGTTTTGAATTGTTCATTAATCACTAAAGAGAACTTTCAGTCATACACAGAAATTCCTATTGCCCGGTATATATCAGGGTGTAATTTCATAATCTCTGTATCAGATAACGCATTTACCGATAGTTATCAGAAATACCGGTTTTAGGTGATATCGTGATTTCTTCAAACCTAACAATATCAAACATTATATCAGGAACCAAGAGCTTTAACTAGCTTAGTATTCATCGTACCGATCTAATTCATGCATTAAAAGCACTGGTGTACAGTGAAACTATGGACTGAGAAATACCGAAAGTTCCAAGTTTGTAGACGACCGAACAGAAATCAATTAACGCGATTGTGTATTTTCTTCAGTGAAGTAGACGACGCGTGTTACGGATGTCAAGTAAGCACGTGACGAAGGCAGAAGTAATAAATATTACAGAGTGTGTGGGTAACCAAAACAAGATAAAATAACAGTCTGTGAGGTCACTGATTGTCATTCTGATTCACGTAAGGAAATGTAGTGATTCAAGATATACCTTTTGAGATTTGTTTCCGAAGACTATAGTTGGCCAATCAAAATGGTACAGGTCCACAAACGCTTATTTCGTAGATTTTCAGTCGCATTGACTATCTATCCTCTCTTGCCTTGTACCCTTTGGCGAACAATCATGTGTCTCAATGGAACAAAAACTTGACATCAAAAAGTAGGGTTATAAGTTTGCATCTAGTTCTATCAAACATCAGTCGTTTATTGATGCTAATACAATAATCAGATTTGACTGGTAGTCTGTTTTGTAGAATGTTTTCAAATTTTCAGGTAGTATGGTAGTCTCATTTCTGTTATTGTACTGAGTAGTAATTTTATGTAGTGAGAATACCATCGACCGTAAACTGTCAGTAGTTGAGTGACGCTGTTTAAAGCGAAGGGAACAAAGTAGCGAAATTACATTTTACACTCATTGCAATTCATATTCAATCTTACTTCCATTCTTAAATTAATCTAATGTTTACCCAGTATAATATTTGCTTTATTTTCAATGTAATATTTCAATCAGTTCAACACTGATTTCTTTCTCTATGCTGTTGCTCCAACATGACATATTGTCTGTATCAAATTAACGTGAACTATGGTCAGCATGACGTGCAACTTGCAACGTGCGATTTCCTTATGATTTCATATATGTGAATTCATTGTAATTAACAATCGAGTGGGTATACAAATCAATATATAAATGAGTGTATTTTCGACTCGAGTGGTCGGTGTCGTGTTTTTGATGTGAATAAATCTCCATTTGTACCAGCAGTCTATTGTGTTTTTACTTCGTATCGTAGGAGTTGTAGTGGTTCCATTTCCAAGTTTGAGCTACAGTATTGAGGAACTGCAATGGTTCCCGACTGATATGTAAAAGCGGTAAGACTTCCTTCCCTCCCCAACGAAGTCGATATATGTCTGACCTCAGTGGCTGTCCAGATATAATAGTTTATATTTTAGTTACTACACTGCTGACGGAGACAGTTCTTAGGCTAAAATAACAAAATGCTTACATAGAAATTGTTTTCCAACATGAAAAATGAATAAACCAGGTGGAAACATATTCATAGTTGGGTGTACAATAATAAAAGATATGTATTTTTGGGATATTAGGAAAATATTATAAAGTATCTTATCCATGTATTTCATTTCGGAGCTTCGAAATTTGAAGGCATTAACTGATGCTGACGGACTTATTTGGGGAGCAAGTTCTGACCAAACAATCAAATAATTTATTGGAAGTACTACTGAACCAATAATATGATATGAATTCCCATAGTATTTGCTTACATAGTATGCTAATATTCTAATGAATATGGAGAGCATGTACACTACATCTTTGAAATAGATTCCTTTAGATGAACCATCTGTATTCACCAACTTTAGTGACACTTAATCTGACATTTCGGTTGTACATTTTAATCATTCTGAACCAGTATAACTATCATTGAGATCTGCATCAGGTAAATGTATTGATTTTTCATGCTCTTCATGACACTGACAATCAATATTTTTGAAGAAGTTTAAGTATTCACTGTGCTATCCAAAACCAAATTATATTGTTAACCACTTGTCTAGTCAGAAATTCAACAATGCAAGCACATTATATTGAAATTTTAAGTAGTTGTAGATAGTTGACAGGAAAATCTAGGATTCTGGTTATTTGGCACTACATTAGACTTTTGTGGAATCAGTGTAAAGTATGGAGAGACCAAAAATCTCGTTTTGAAGGAATAACACCAACAACAAAAAAATAGGCAAAGTTAATGTACAGAACAATAACCTTTCTCCATTATTTCTACGTGATCAAGTGAGCCTGTGAATTAGGAAACAAATCAAATCAATTGAATTACGTCCCGACATTATTATTTATAATTTCAAGTAATAAGCCTAAAGTAGAAAATGCTTATAATCAATGAAATTTAATGTAATTAGTCCTTTTGATAAATCTGTCTCGTATAATAAGAAGACGAATATTCTTAGAACAATGTAATAATGTTCGAAACGTATTGCGCTAACATATCGCATACTTCTTATTTAATTTAATGTAAGTTCAAATCAATGAAAATGTTATCTTTAATCATCATTCGATATGTTATCATCATGATCAGATAAATTGACCAATGATATAAGTCGATACATGTTTTGGCAATATGTCTATCACACAATTTAAACCAATCTACTTTAAGAAAGGTGTGAGGCGTGATTTGTAATCATATGACCTTGAAACAATGTGTTTGGCTGATTGAAAAGGAATAAAGTGATGCTAGTATATTATGTTGTGTCAGGTATAAAGTCACGTTGTTTATCCGTTAATTCTTGCTCATGCTTGCTTGGTCTACAATCATTAGTCTCTTGATTAATGCCAACATAATATTATTGAATGCTTTTCCAGTCAGAGATACACCTCCACAACTGTTTGGTTTGATGTATGCTGAAGAAACCAAAAGCTCACGAGAACGATACCAGCTTAAACATGATGAAACAAATCCGAACTCTTCAATGTATATTTATGATTACCATAATGAAGGAGATGCTATATATGTGGTAATCAGTATTTCTAAAAAGGACTTGGAGTTTGTAGACAATTATCAGATCAAACCTGTTATATGCTTAATCAGCTACAGCAGTCATGTGCCTTTAGCTTTATCCTATGACTTGGATTTTACGTTATCCGCAGAGCTTGTTAATCAATCGTGGTATTGGTTACCACCTTCATTAAATGCGAGTACAAATATATCAGTTTATATATTACCAAAATTAGTGGGACTAGACTATTTGGTATTTTGGATTCGTCAAGCGAAACCAAAGCATGGATATATTAGTCCTACTCCTTGGTTTGCCAATAATTCTGAGGCCCTCAGGAAGCAATATTTCGACAGTTTAGTAATTGACTATCGACTCAATGTCTCTTTATATAATAACCAGGATTATAATGATGACAACAATAAAAACAACACAATGGGTTTTCCCGTAATTGTAACTGCAGATAAAGGCATTGGTCATCTAGTTTTCCGTATCATCGTCATAATCATGGTGACTGTATTCACATTCACAATGGGGTGTGATTTGGAAGTTCCTTTGATCCTGCATCATTTCAAAAGACCCATTTCTGTATCAATTGGGTTCTTTTGTCAATTTTTCTTTATGCCATTGGTAAGTAGTTTGTCTATTTTTTAAAAAAGTTGAGAATATTCAGTCAAATAAGTATTATAGTCTTCAGTCCCAGTATCAGAAGGGGTTTTGTGGTTAGTGTGGTAATGTGTCGCTCAATTTCGTGGATTGGTTGAAGTTAGACATTAACACCGTTAGATGCTGCTTCAGTGGTCTAGAGGTTAAGCGTTCGCGTGCGAGATCGATAGATCGTTGGTTCGAATCTCGCGAGGCAGGATCGTGAATACGCACTACTGAGGAGTCCCACAGTAGGACGAAACGGCCGTCTAGTGCTTCCAGGTTTTCTATGGTGGTCTAGCTTCAACTGACTCATGATCTCAACTATTAAAATTACTTCAGTTTCAGTTTGGAAAGGATAGGAAGCTGGATGTCTTGTGTTATTCTTGGTAATGGTGGTGATGAGAAACCACGACATATAACGTGTTTTTTTTCTTCAAACATTTAAATGATTACTGTACACATAAGAATCACATAAGAGTGAAAATATGCGTAAGACTAAACTTTCGTATAAGTTAATATATATTCGTGTAAGGTACAACATTTGTGGAGCCGAATAAAATAACAGTGACAAATCAAAAAAAGAAATGTACTTTTGTGTATTGAAAAATGTACAAAATCAGTTGAATATGAGGGGTTCAAACTAATCTCCTAATAATTTACTTTACTTACTTACGCCGACCAGCATTCTCCAACACATTCTGTCCTGGGCCTTCCTTTCTAGTTCCATCCAATTTTTGTTCATTCTTCTCATGTCTGTCTCCATTTCTCGGCTTAATGTGTTTTGTGGTCTTCCTCTCCTCCTTTGGCTTTGAGGATTCCATGTGATGGCTTGCATTGTGATACAGTTGGGTGATTTCCTCAATGTGTGTCCTATCCATGTCCAGCCCTTCTTCCTCCGCTACGATCTGGTTTGTTCTCTCCCATAGTAGGTTGTTGCTGATAGTGTCTGACCAACGGATGTGAAGTATTTTGCGTAGACAACTGTTAATAAACACCTAATAATTTGAAATCAGTATTAAATCTATTAAACATAATGAAGCGTCTTAGAAAAACTGATAAATCAACCTTACATTTAAATGAATTAGTAAACAGCCTATCATAAGTGATAGGTATCATTACCAAGGTTTAACTTGATAATTTCGAATAAATTGAGCATTGAGTAGATTGTTACAAATAAAACTGATATACTTGTAGATAACTCAATGAGTGGAAGAAAAATTAATTTTTCTGACGTTTCGTGACTTAGTGTAAGCCACTTCTTCAGACGATAAGTAGCCAAAACAAAATCCGTGTTTTAATAGTACAACAGAACAACAAAAATATTTAAACTTGGATTTATTTTGTTTTGGTTATTTATTCTCTGAAGAACTGGCTTACACTAAGTCACGAAACATCAGAAAATCGAATTTTTCTACTCATTGGGATATCTACTAATATATTAGTTTTACTTATACCATAAGTGATGTATATTTTAGCAATTTTCATGCCTACTACTTTTTCAAACTATGATCCAATGCTTAGTGTTCAGTGAAGTTGAAATGAATAGTAGAAGATTTAGACTTGGAACTAAGTAATCAATTGTTGACATTCTCTACGTGGTTTTATTGAATAGTGCGATATCATCTATAGGAAATCATAATGTAATTAATCTTCAAAAAACAGATTTTTTAAAAATTCGATGTATATTCTGTTACTCAATGACATGATGAAAATTTCAGTATTCCTTTGTTTATCCCAAAATTGTATTGCTACATGATGTTGGTAGTATCATATCAAATCTGTACCATCAAAATATCTTCGACTACTTGAGCTAAAGCGCAAAGCTAACCAAGTTCATTTTAAGATAATTGGTTATCTTTATTAATTTCGTCCCAGTAACTATTTATTTGTTTTCATATTAAAATTTGAATAGTACCGATTGGGTATGATTTAACCGTGCTACTTGGTTGGGTCTGAGTTCTGACTCGAGCTAAGTGTTTAAACTAAGCTGCTAAATATCTAATAGTTTTTAATTCTATTTAGTGTTAGTAATTTCTATTGTCATTTTGTCATTCATGATAGCTTATCATTTCTTTCCGTTGTCAGTTATTTACATTTGTGCTTCTCATACTAAAAACAAATAATTAAGCATCTACTTACTTGTTCTACATAAGGTATTTAAAACAAATGCTTAATCGCAGACAATTCAGTTTATTATAGAATATGCATATTTCTAACGATAAAATGCAGAATAGTATGTTATATACTTGCTATAACCGATTGTGGTCACGTATAGTTTAAGCTAGAGAAACTGGTTTATTGGATTCATTCAGATAGTATGAGTGACTGATGTATTTTTCTCAAGAATATGGTGCTTTTGCCTGATATCTGATAATATTAATTTTACGACACATATTATAATAATAATTTTCAGCATGATTTAATCGGCCAATCTATGAAATACTGTTACCTTCTTATATAGAACTTTTATAAAATTGCATACCCTTTGTTTATATTATTAGTTAATTTAATGCGTACAAATTCACTGAATTTTTCAGGTAAATATCACGTAGTATGAAGTGGATAGGATTTCATCTATGTGATCATTATGAAACATCTTTACTTGATCCATGATGTCAGTGTGTAATGATAATCCTTCGGGAAATATCATTTGAAACTACACATTATCTGTTAACATTAGGAACTTTCAGACTATACACATCAATTTACAACCTGGTTTTTCAGAAGGATTCTTCAACGTTAACTATGAGTATATCGATAGATAAGTGTGATATAACTTGTGAATCGGAGTCATTCAATGTACCCATATTTATTGAGTGAAAATAAAATTTGATAACTCATATCATGATTTTTATTTTTATGTAGTTAGTTATTATTTAGTATTTGTCGACGTAGATGTTTTATGATATTCTCGAAATTCCATGATAAGTCCCTACTTAAACAGATGAATTTATGAAAATTAGATTTTCCTTATTAAAACTATTTTATATTCAGATAATGCGTTGCTTGAAAACTAAATTGATTATTTATATAACTGTATTTTAGATTGCGTTTGGTATCGCAAAAATTATACCAATTAGGTCGGATTTTGGCTTTGGTTTACTTACTATTGCTTGTTCTCCAGGTGGTGGTGCCAGTAATGGTTGGTGTCTTCTACTCGGAGGTGATATTAACTTGAGTATATTAATGACATTCATTAGTAGTTTATCGGCTCTTTGTAAGTTCAATCTACTAACAGTTTGATAAAATTTATTTCATATATGAATCTTTTGTAAGTATTTAGTAATATACTTTTTGCATTTATTATAAGTAACAAGTTTGTCTGGAACTGTTTAATCTATTCAGTCATAAAGAAGCTTTACTAAAAAAATGTATACTAACTTATAATAGGGTTACATATATCACTGTTCAAAACAAAACAAAACAAAACAAACTAATTTTGTAGTGTATTAACCGACAGAATTTATGTTTAGTTGAGAAACTTTTATAATTCATAGTCTATAAATCTGTTTATTTTGTTTTAGTATTTCTTTTATGTTCATTATTTCATTATACTTTGATCAGTATTTCATTTAGATGTTTAATTAACTTATCAATAGTGAATATACTTTTCTAAATTCCAGTTTTTATTTACCACTAATAGAAACCATTAAGATATTAGAGTATGGTGTAAGTATTTATTTGCCCCTAAATGCCTTGGTACGGTTGAGAGTAGGGATAGTCAGCTCACCCTCTCGAAATGTTCTCACATAGTCACTACTAGGGAAGTCCTACTCACTGCCTTCTCGGAGCAGGGGTGTTTTTTGTTTACGAAATCGAAAGGACGTAAAGCGAATGTCCTGCGCTTTAATCGGGCTGGTGGACACGGAAAGTTTTATACATTTTCTCAGAAGTAGATTGTTGAATGGTAATTCATTTTTTAGCATTACATAAAGGGATTGCTAAAAAAATCCTGGTTAAATGACCCACCTTTTTGTTTATAAAATGAATTGAATAAGTTAAGCAATCAATATACCAATATTCTTTCAACTGTACGATGAAATTCAGTTTTGAATATATTTCAAAGGATATAAGTGAAGTATATTGATGTGAGAGATTTAGTTAGGACAAATACATCAAACATTTGTCTTCATATTCTATACAAAACAATTCATTACTGTGAATGAGTTAATTCTGAAAAGTTTGTTATCGTAATAAGAACATTTAAAATCTATCTAGAAAACAAAGTAAGTTATCACCACCAGTGTTAAATAATAAACCTTAGATATTGGTTATTCGCTAGAGGTAGACAAAATTTTAGACCATACAACTTCTATATTCTAATTAACCAACTTATTATTAAGTATTTAAAAAATAGCCATGTCAACTTATCATTTATAAGTTGTATCATCGTCAAAATGAAATTTGATCATCTCCAAAATTGTATAGTCGTTAGATTGTTTACGATAATAATAATAATAATAATAATAATAATAATAATAATAATAATAATAATAATAATAATAATAATATAAATACCATATCCAGTTCATATAGGAGTGCCTATCTGAACTCAAACAGTGTTGAAGGGAAGGTATTGTGTTCGAACCTCATTGTGAGCATCAATACTTAGATGCAGGTACATTTAGTTGGCGTGTCCCAGATAAGATAATATGCTTGTCCTAATTTCTATTGCCAGCTACAATTTATCTATCCTTATCCTCATAAAATAAGCTGAAAGGGTTGGTGATGTGATGTAACATTCTCAACCATAATACGATACTGCACAAACGGATATGCAGGAAACTGAACATTCGCGAGATTTATCTCAGGAACCACTGAAAAATTTATTGAAGTTTAAAGTCTGATTGAGAAATAAACTGTAATAATAATAATAATAATAATAATAATAATAATAATAATAATGTATTTGTCACTTCTTCGGCAGCAACTCATAGGAAATCGTGAAACACCTAAAATTCAACGTTTCTACCCATTGTTATACTGAAAATATATTTTTATTATTTCTATTTGGATAATTTGGTTTTATCAGAAGGGGTTTTGTGGAGATTTTAGTAATTTCAATAGTTGAAATCATGAGTCAATTAAAGCTAGACCATCATGGAAAACCTGGAAGGACTGGACAGCCGTTTCGAACGCTTCTGATAATAATCATCTGCTCACTAGTGACTGACTTCAAGAGGCATTTCCTGGAGTTCTAGTGTGAAGCCGTGACCAGTGGAGTTTAACAAGGTCTGTTGTGAGATATCAGCTCACTGAAGACAATAGTGTAAAGTTGTGCGATTTCGTGGATTGGTTTAAGTTAAATATTAACACCGTTGGATGCAGACTCAGTGCTCGCGCTGGAACATAGTTTTATAATATTTGGCAACCTTGAAAAAGGGGAACACATTTGATTAATAATTATTTGAGATATGGAGGAGGTTAAGAACAGCAACTCCTGGTGTGTTGCTTCTTTGATTGATTTGTTTTATATCCACACGAAATTGGACACATTGAAATCAATAAATTAACAAGAAACTATATTAAATAATTTCAATACTGTTAGAATGTTTTCATAAATACCATTAAGAATCAATCAATACTAAAGAACTGTTTCCCTTTGTAAATGAATTATTAATCTTTAATCTCTGTTAAACTGTTTCACAGGACTGTGTATAATAATGTCATAAATCCTGGTAACCGTTATTTTTGTATTCATTTCTTGTTTCATTTTTTATTTATCTACAGTCATGATGCCTTTTCTTCTATTCATCTACGGTCGATTCTTCATTGATGTGACCAAAATAAAAATTCCATACGTCAATATTGTCTTCCAGTTATTACAAGTAGCTATACCCGCATTAATGGGTTTAGGTCTACGTATATGGAAACCGAAATTGGCTGTTAAATGCACAAAGTTAACACGTCCATTATTTTATGTATTCATAGTATTCTTTTTAACTATTGGTGTGTACATTAACTGGTCCTTAACTCGTCTATTAGGTGTATATCCTTTACTTATTCTTACAGGTGCATTATTACCTTGGCTTGGCTTTTGTATAGCATCATTATTTACATTAATTCTACGACAATCACGTAAATTAGTTATTACAGTGGCCTTAGAGACTGGTATACAAAATATTGGTGTTGGAATACTTGTTTTATTGTATACAATGCCAAAACCAATCGGTGAATTAGGTGCTATCATGCCAATTACTGTAGCTATACTTACACCTATTCCTTTGTGCCTAATATATTTAGGCTTAGTAATCAAGCGTAAATGTTTTGACCATCAGAATGAGCCTGTTATTCATGATCCTTGTGAAATTGAACCCCTCAGTACCACGAAAATAAGTAGTAAATGCAGTAATGACATTATGAACCCACCAACTGATACCATTAAATCACCGACACAAGTATCGTTAACAGATACAACTGTTACCATAAACACCACTGTCCCTCAAGAACGTATGTAATAGAACTCGTATAAAGTCAGGTTGGTGGTGTATTTCTCACTGCCTTCTATTTTTGAATAGCAATAATTTTGTAGTGTGATAATATGCAAATCTTTTTAGTTTTCTATAGAACCATTTCAGTTTTAAATTGAACTCCTCTCAATTCATCTATCATTGATCTTATCAAACACAGTATCTTATTTTGCTCGTTTTAAAAAAGGTAATCAGATTTCAGGAAATAGAAGAATCATTTTTACCTACACAAATATAGACGTAATTTAAGTATCTTGACAATGAGTTTCTTTTTTTTTTTGAATTTCAAAACATTCATTTTTACTTGTTTTCTCTGATTTATTGTCCTACCCTTAGTTTTGTGATAAATGTTCTCTTTTCGTAGAATAAGATTCTGTTTTAGTAAAGTTCAGTGAAAAAAATAATAAAAACTTCCCAACTGGGAAAGTCAAAACCTTAATTTATCCATCATGAACAGTAGCAAATAAATGTAAAGAGAATGAATGGAAAATACTTAATGACTTATTAAAAATAATGAAGACAATTGAGCAAAGGAAATTTTCTTTTATGCATTATTGTCTTTTTGAACGATCCAATTGTATTTATAAAAACGTCTTTTTTTTACATTTGGTAATCGTAAAATAGACGAATGTTACTAAATTATCAAAAATGATTAATTTTATTCAAACAATGACTGAAAAAGCCTATGAAACTGAAAGGTGTTTCATCATTTAACAAAGAAATCAAAGATTATCGAGAGATTTTGAATATTGAATATGATTTTATATATAAACAAAAGGGTTAGAATTTCATTAGAAAAATTGTCAAGGATAAATTGCGGCTATGGACAAGTTTACTTCATTTGGTGGTGCAGGTTATGTTAGCCGTATGTATAGTAATAGAGTAGTGATCTTCCACCATACGAGCTAAACCAAAATCAGCTACTTTAACACAATTATTTTCTCCAACTAAAATATTACGTGCGGCTAAATCACGATGAATATAGTGCTCTTTTTCCAAATAAGCCATTCCATTAGCAATCTATTATGATAAAGAATAAAGACAAAACAGAAAACAGATTAGGTAATTAGAAATGCATAGTAAATTGATCCACACACGGAATCATCAGCACTGGAGGATTGGTGTCTGATAAAATCTCAGCACACATTCGAAAAGCCAGATAGATTTACGCCAACTCTCGATACTTGTGACGCAACTTAGACAACCGTCTACCAACCAGTTCCTGAGTATAGTGTTCAGAATTCCTCACTGTATTACTCTATGCCTGTGAAACTAACTAAGGTAGTAAAGGTTGTGAGCACACTGCGACATTTTAATTATACTTACATTCAAAGCGCTCTTCCTGAATATTGGGATAATGGAGTAGGTGATTACGAGATTAGACGCAAGGTACTGGGTAAATATGGTACATCAACTGACAATGTAGTGAATATTGATTGACTGAGGAACATGAGTTGAGTATCCCCAAATACCATCCATCTGGACAGGCGGTGTTTGCAGCTGTAGTCATAAGTTGAAAGGAGTTTAATGTTTGTTGAATTAAAACGAGACGTCTGTCCGTGAAGTCACCAACTAATGGTCTAAGCTATGTAGTTAATTGAAGACTACCTGTTTGAATTCGCTTTCAGTAACCACTATCAGTGCTTGGAGACGTTAGGGGGCATGATCAAGAATTGGTAAATGTAGGGGAGATGTATTCGTTTTATCTTCTCTTCGATCTTGAGTTTTAAAATTGTCCTATACTTTCTATTCCGCGGATTTCGTAAATTACATTATCCATACTTTATCTTTTCTACTACCACCGATACTTTCACCACTTCTAATACTCTGATATTTGTTTTCATTCCATTACATTCATATGGTGTGGCAACTTAAACTGATACACAAATTAGTGAGAACGGAGTAAACCAATGATATGAATTATGTTTTACACTGACAACTAATCACAATTTGTCTAAACGTTGACATAATTCAACTTACCAACAAATATTTAATCTAGTAAATGTCTCATAGTCAAATTATCACAACTACTTAACACTGATTACTGAATTATAGTGCCTGACCTTTTTTAACAACTTATGAAGAGATTATATACATAACTTATTATGTAAGTATATGGGAAGTGGTACCACATTAGTGGGCACCAACAATGCTCAGTTCTTTGTCATCAGTTCGACTAAAAGTCTGTTCTCACCCACTTATTTTTCAATCTGTGTTGAAAACAATGAAATAACAACTCTCAACAAACAGGAAACTGATATGTCTGGTGAAAGTGAACTGTAACTAGTTAATGACTGCAAAAAGACACATATATGTGAACTGAAATATGTCTGTAAATGTGTGGTATTTGGATGAATTGATGATTCCTTTGTACTTCTTGAATGCTTGATTTCGATTTACAAATACAGTACATTCGTTTGTGGTTATCTAGTACTTCTTGATCAAATTGTGTTATTTCTGGGATTCTTAGTTAGCACTATAATTCAAACACTTCTAATTATCATAAAATGCCATAATATACTTTGAGTTAGGCCTGTTTCGTTTTTTAAAAAGCTTTTCAGATTAAAGTGTGAGAGAGTAGCCAAATAGTTGAATATATAGTGCCAAGTGTAAGTACATACTTAAAGTGCACTCATGGAAACTATAAGTAAGCATCCTGGAATTCTGTTTCAGATGCTAGATCCTCAAATATCACTTAGTAAACATCTCATTATTGTTATTTTATTTTGGAAACTGGAATTCATCATTGATGCACCGAAAACGCCCACTTTTACAATAGTTTGTAATTCCCACTTACAAGAACCTCAAATTTCATTGTTTCGATTCCTCTTTTAGTACGCCAATATGTGACAATTTCCAAGGCCGTTTTTGTGCTGTATATATACGCATGAGTTGTGCGCTTGTCTGTTCGCGCTAAGGAATACTTGTGGAATTCAATTTTCTCTCGGTTGAATCTGGTCTTCACCCTCCAATTGGCAGGGCTGAGGCCTAGTAGGATGGCTTAGCTTGACTTGCAGTTGTGTTGCTAACTTTCGTTCTGTTCGTCCGTTTTAGGTGATATCGTGATTTCTTCAAACCTAACAATATCAAACATTATATCAGGAACCAAGAGCTTTAACTAGCTTAGTATTCATCGTACCGATCTAATTCATGCATTAAAAGCACTGGTGTACAGTGAAACTATGGACTGAGAAATACCGAAAGTTCCAAGTTTGTAGACGACCGAACAGAAATCAATTAACGCGATTGTGTATTTTCTTCAGTGAAGTAGACGACGCGTGTTACGGATGTCAAGTAAGCACGTGACGAAGGCAGAAGTAATAAATATTACAGAGTGTGTGGGTAACCAAAACAAGATAAAATAACAGTCTGTGAGGTCACTGATTGTCATTCTGATTCACGTAAGGAAATGTAGTGATTCAAGATATACCTTTTGAGATTTGTTTCCGAAGACTATAGTTGGCCAATCAAAATGGTACAGGTCCACAAACGCTTATTTCGTAGATTTTCAGTCGCATTGACTATCTATCCTCTCTTGCCTTGTACCCTTTGGCGAACAATCATGTGTCTCAATGGAACAAAAACTTGACATCAAAAAGTAGGGTTATAAGTTTGCATCTAGTTCTATCAAACATCAGTCGTTTATTGATGCTAATACAATAATCAGATTTGACTGGTAGTCTGTTTTGTAGAATGTTTTCAAATTTTCAGGTAGTATGGTAGTCTCATTTCTGTTATTGTACTGAGTAGTAATTTTATGTAGTGAGAATACCATCGACCGTAAACTGTCAGTAGTTGAGTGACGCTGTTTAAAGCGAAGGGAACAAAGTAGCGAAATTACATTTTACACTCATTGCAATTCATATTCAATCTTACTTCCATTCTTAAATTAATCTAATGTTTACCCAGTATAATATTTGCTTTATTTTCAATGTAATATTTCAATCAGTTCAACACTGATTTCTTTCTCTATGCTGTTGCTCCAACATGACATATTGTCTGTATCAAATTAACGTGAACTATGGTCAGCATGACGTGCAACTTGCAACGTGCGATTTCCTTATGATTTCATATATGTGAATTCATTGTAATTAACAATCGAGTGGGTATACAAATCAATATATAAATGAGTGTATTTTCGACTCGAGTGGTCGGTGTCGTGTTTTTGATGTGAATAAATCTCCATTTGTACCAGCAGTCTATTGTGTTTTTACTTCGTGTCATGTAAATTGTAGTGGTAGTATTACAAATGATAAACGAAGTGTACATAACATTTCTTAACATGTCAATAAGAAAACATCTAGTTTTAAGGCAGGTGGAGCTAATGATATAGTGTCATACAGCCTGAAATAGCTTTAACGTGACTTTGATGCTATAAATCACTTATATAAAAGCTGGAATTAGGTTTTTGTTTCCAAACTGTTCCTTTAATTTTAAAACTAGGAACAATGCATTTGGAATTTGACCAAACTTGGAAGATAGATAAACTAGTTTATGGAACGGTAGTTTTATCGTTTCACAATCCCCTTTCCTAAAGTAATTACAAGATAGTCGGAAATTTATATTCGAACAAACTATTAGTGTGATGTTATCAATTCTATTGAAGCATTAGAAGGTAGACTTCTTTATTCGACTGACAGACAACAGATATTTTCATGTCCGATCTACGTTAGGAGCTAATAACACCTGAAGACCACGAAGTGCTGAACAGCTGTTCTGTCTAAACAACAATGAGAATGTAACTTACCAAGCACATTCTCGGTTTGGAGTCATACTTTTTAAGTGAGCATTGGTGATTTTACTTGACCACGTAAATCGAAGTAGATGGGAAGGGATTCTTCCAACTATGATACTCACGATATGAAAATGTACTAATACAATTACAGTCAACACCAGGTTCAGGTTTTACAGTGAGGATGGTGCTTTACTATGGGATCAAATAAACCAACTTTTTTCTAACTTATGGATCTGTGACACATGACGGTTTT